TGAAGGGGATTGGGGAGCAATTACAAAGAAACTTCTTAAGGTGGGGGAATTCAGCTAAGAACCTTCTTAAGGGTGGCGGGAGATATACAAAGTACGTTTGAGTCAGTTAGGGTGGGGCAGAAACAAATCCACAATGGTGGATATGTCATCAGTGTAAGGCTATTTTTCACTTCTTTGTGGATCTCAGTTGCTTCAGGGGCCATTCTGGATGTATACTTGGCAGGTCAACAAGGGGGATCTATTGATGGCTGTAGTAGGTCTCAGAGGGCCTTGGACAATTTGGGGGAGGCTGAGGGGCAGGTGGAATCACTTGATAAACCAGGAGTTTTGAGACCAACCTGGCCTAACATTTAGTGGATAACCCTGTCAGCTTACTAAATACCAAAAATTAGCCAAGGTGTAGTGGTGGGGCGCTGTTAATTCTCAAGCTACTCCGGGGAGGGCTGAGGGGCGGAGAATTGCTTAAACCTATGATGCCAGAGTGGGCAGTGGGGCCATGATGTTTATCCCAGGACCGGTTTGTTCCCCGCAAGAAGACCAGCAGGAGTCCATGATGTCAAAAGCCAAGCGGCAAGGATCTTTTACTGCAAGGTTCTGATTTGTGCTGGGCTCAGGGAGTTGGGAGATATATGGAGGAATGTGCCTGGTTTCTTTCAATTGCACTCCAGTGTGGGCCACAGAGAGAGTCTGTCTCATGAAACAAAACAAACAAACAAAAAAAGATTGGGGATTGGGCGTGATGGCTTATGCCTGTAATCCCAGCACTTTGGGGTGGATCACTTGAGTCCAGTAGTTTGAGACCAGCCTGGCCAACATGGTGAACCTCATCTCTACAAAAAATATGCAAAAAACAAACAAAATTAGCCAGGAGTGGTGGCATGAGCCTGTAGTCTCAGCTACTTGGGAGGCTGAGATGGGGGAGATCACTTGAGCTTGGGAGGCAGAGGTTACAATGAGTCAAGATTGAGCCATTGAACTCTAGCCTGGATGACAAAGTAAAAGCCTGTTGCAGAAAAACAATAATAATAATATTGAGATCAGCTTTCTTGGGTTGTGTGTTGAGAAAACGGTTGTGTTAGATATGAATTCTAAATTTCTGTTCAAAGAATCAGTATGTCAGTATGTTCAGTTCTTTGCCTTCTACTTTTAAACTTAACTTCCTCGTAAAGCAACCTTTTTCGATCACCTGCTCCACCCTGACTCATTTCAGTCACCTGCTCTACCTTGACTCATTCTGATTACATGCCCCACCCTGACTCATTCCGATTTCCTGCGCTGCCTTAACCATTTTTCTTGCTAAACCACTCACCCCATCACTCTCTTTAAATTAGCCCATCAGAATTAGTTTAGCTTGTGCAGTCTAGCCCTAGCCAACAGGGGAACGACAGAGCAGCAGGGGCCACGTGCGTCAGGAATAAGAACCCTTTCACCTCCCTTGCCCAGGTGTGCGCTCACCATTGCTCCATCTGTGAAGGCACACCCTTCTATAGAAGTACATTGCCGCTGGGCACAGTGGCTCACGCCTGTAATCCCAGCACTTTGGGAGGCCGAGGCGGGCGGATCACGAGGTCAGGAGATCGAGACCATCCTGGCTAACATGGTGAAACCCCGTCTCTACTGAAAAATACAAAAAATTAGCTGGGCGTGGTGGCGGGTGCCTGTGGTCCCAGCTACTCAGGAGGCCGAGGTAGGAGAATGGAGTGATTCGGGAGGCGGAGCTTGCAGTGAGCCGGGATTGCGCCACTGCACTCCAACCTGGATGACAGAGCAAGACTCCGTCTCAAAAAAGGAAAAAAAAAAATGTACATTGCCTTGCTGAGAATTAAGAATATTTTATATTCCAGTGCTATTTCTTTTGCAGTGCAGAAGCTTTATTTATAATAGTTGTTTGTGAAGGAAATATTTTTCACAGTTCCTTTGTGGCCCTCAAAGTTTAGCAGCAGCTCAGCCTGGAGTCAGTAGCCTGAGATGGAGTCACTGATACCAAGCCTGGAAAATTGCTAAGCTGCATAAGGAAACTTTTTTTTTTCTCACGCTATTGCAGTAAGGACAACATTCATTAATGCAGAGGAATCTTTTCAAAGAAAAGGAAATAGACTTAGGGATTTTATAGGAGGAAGTAAACAAGGAAATCTTGTCTGAATGATTAAGGAATGAGAAAGGGCAGAGGTGGTTAGTTAGTGCTTGTGATATAAGAGGGCAGACTATTCCTTTGCCCTTGAGGTTTGTTGATTTGGGTTTTTAATTTTTGTAGTCTTCAATATCTGCGGTATCCACCACCATCACCACCTCCTCTATAAGGATCTCCATAATCTTTTCCACCATAATCTCCCCTCCCGCCATCATCTCTTCTGCCTTGGAAACCTCCTCTACCACTTCCACCCCACCTCCTCCTCACTACCCTTCTCCCTCTCCCCCACCATTTCCCCATCCTCCTCCACCCCAGCCACCTCTTCCACTTTCACCCCCACAGCCTCTTCTACTACCACCTCCACCTCCACCACCACCACCCCCCCAGCCACCCGCCACTACCTTGTATCTTTTGTCAAGGGGGCATTTCAGAGGGTGGTGGTTCAATTCCACCTTCTTGCTGTGTCGCCCAGACTGGAGTGCAGTGGTAAAATCTCAACTTATTGCAACATCCACCTCCCAGGTTAAGCAGTTCTCTGCCTCAGCCTCCCAAGTAGCTGGGATTACAGGCACCTGCCACCAGGCCCAGCTAATTTTTTTGTATTTTTAGTAGAGATAGGATTTCACCATCTTGGCCAGGCTTGTCTTGAACTGCTGACCTTGTGATCCGCCTGACTTGGCCCATCTTGGCCTCCCAAAGTGCTAGGGTTACAGTTGTGAGCCACCGCAACCGGCCAAGGCTTGTTAACTCTTAAACTTATAAAATATGTTTTAGAACATGTTTTAATGACATCTTTAATATATCTATAGTAAAAATTATGTTGGTTTGCAAAAAAAACGCCTAAGTTGTAAATGAGGTCATTAGTTCTTTTTCTTTTCTTGATTGCTCACTATAATCTGTTTCCCCTTATTCTTCTTTTTTTTTTGAGATGGAGCCTCACTCTTTCATCCAGGCTGGAATGCAGTGGCATGATCTTGGCTCACTCCAACCTCCGCCTCCCAGCTTCAAGCGATTGTCCTGCCTCAGCCTTCCAAGTAGCAGGGATTACAGGACTGCACCACTACACCTGGCTAATTTTTGTATTTTTAGTAGAGATGGGGTTTCAACATGTTGTTCAGGCAGGTGTAGAATTCCTGACCTCAAGTGATCCGCTTGCCTCAGCCTCCCAAAGTTCTGGGATTACAGGTGTGAGCCACTGTGCCAGGCCTCCCCTTCTTTGTTTGTTTCCCCTTCCTGTTAGTAAAAGTTAGTTGGGTACAAAGTCACTTTGTATGTAGTCTCGTGGAATGTAAGTAGAGATTACATTCCCCTAAGTCTCTCTTGAAGCTAGATGTTTTCAAGTTTCAGTTCTCACAGTGACATATAAGCAGAAATGTTATATGCAACTTCTGTCTAAAGGAATGGCTTACTGTGAAACTCTTCTTACATTTACTTGGATTGGAATGTGGAAATGGTAGTAACTTAATTTCAACCTTGCAAAAAAAAAAAAAAGATAACTCCTGAAGGCAGGAACTCGTCTCTGTTTTTTTGACCATAAGCCTCTTTGGTAGTTTGGTAGAGCCCATGGACACCTTCTTAGAATAATCTTTTTTTTTTTTTTTTTTGAGAAGGAGTCTTGCTCTGTCGCCCAGGCTGGAATGCAGTGGCGCAATCTCAGCTCACTACAACCCCTGCCTTCCAGGTTCAAGCAATTCTCGTGCCTCAGCCTCCCCAAGTAGCTGGGATTACAGGCATGGGCCACCGTGCCTGGCTCATTAGAGGCAGGGTTTCACCATGTTGGCCAGGCTGGTCAGAAACTCCTGACCTCAAGTGATCTGCCTGTCTCGGTCTCCTAAAGTGCTAGGATTATAGGCGTGAGCCACCATCCCGACCAGAATAATCTTTTGAATGCATAAAATAAAATATGTGAGATTACAAAGGAAATTAATTCAAAATGAAAGTTATCAAATATTTTTAAAAAATCAAATATGTAAGCTGTGGTAAGGCTCTGTTTCCCCACCCAAATCTCATCTTGAATTATAATCCCTATAATCCCCATGTGTCAAGAGAGAGACCAGGTGGAGGGAACTGGATTATGGGAGTGGTTCCCCCATGCTGTTCTCGTGATATTGAGTGAGTTATCTTGAGATTTGATGGTTTTATAAGGGACTCTTCCCCCCTTCCTCAGTATGTCTTCCTGCCACCTTGTGAAGAAGGTGCCTTGCTTCCCCTTCTTCTGCTGTGATTGTAAGTTTCTTGAGGCCTCCCCAGCCATGTGGAACTGTGAGTCAATTAAATCTCTTTTCTTTATAAATTACCCAGTCTCGGGCAGTTCTTTATAACAGTGTGAAAACAGACTAATAGAGTATTTATACATTTCTTTAAAGGGGAGAAGGCATGTGGGATGGAGGGGGTAGGGTGGTGAGGCAAATGGTTATACTTTTGTGGGACTATTAATTAGAGCTCAGTAAATCTACATTTTATACAAGATAAGGTGAATATTCAGAGAAAAAGGGAGTAGAGGAAGAATCAATTATGCAAACGTCTCAGGGTAGGTGGAGGAATGATTTGTTCTGCACCTGGGAAGATAAGCTTGTAATTGACATCATCAGTGTGACTCTAGCAAACTTTAGTTTTAGGAGCTAGACTTAGATGGTACACCTAAAGTTACAATGGACATGTTCTTATTTTATGGGAGGATGTACATCTTGAAAGGTTTTGAGGCCAGCAAAGAGTTTACTTGGGAAAAATTTATGAGGGCCATCATCTGGAGATGTATGAGGCCTTCTGCCTTTCTGTGAGGGTCTGGGTAATATGTGATGCTTTGACACCAGGTCGTAAAGTAATAGCTCTCTATTTGGGAAAAGGATAGCAGTGCTGCATGACCCAGTCTCTAGGCATAACTTTCCCTTTGCATAACAAGTTTGGGGGTCCTAAGATGTTTTTATTTCTCCTTTACAAGTCACAGGGACTGCTCAGCTGAATGAGCCCTGCTTCCAACCGTCTCTCAACTTTGAATCATCACCTCAGCCTTGTTTGTTTGTTTGTTTGTTTGTTTGTTTGTTTTAATTCAGGTGAGGTCTCACTCTGTTGCCAGGCTGGAGTGCAGTGGTAAAATTACGCCTCACTGCAGCCTCAATCTCCCAGGCCCAAGAGATCCTCCCACCTCACCCTCCAGGGTAGCTGGGACCACAGGTGTGTGCTAGCACACCTGGCTAATTTTTGTATTTTTTTGTAGAGATGTAGTTTTACCATGTTACCCAGATTGGTCTTGAACTCCTGGGCTGAAGTGATCCACCCACCTCAGCCTCTAAAAGTGCTATGATTACAGGTGTGAGCTACTGTGCCTCGCCCACTTAAGCCTTTTTTTTTTTTTTTTTTTGAGACAGAGTCTCACTCTGTTGCCCAGGCTGGAATGCACTGGCACAGTCTCAGCTCACTGCAGCCTCCGCCTCCCGGGTTCAAGCTGTTCTCCTGCCTCAGTCTCCTGAGTAGCTGGGACTACAGGTCTGGGCAACCACGCCTGGCTAATTTTTGCATTTTTAGTAGAGACAGGGTCTCACCGTATTGGTCAGGCTGGTCTCGAACTCCTGGCCTCAGGTGATCTGCCCTCCCAAAGTGCTGGGATTACAGGTGTGGGCCACCATGCCCAGCCCCACTTAAGCCTTTGTTATCTTTGTTGTCCTTGATATAAACCTCTGGATGTGATTTGTTTTTACTATTCAAGGTTCTCACAGATGACCTGGGCTCATAGTTCCAAGAGATTTTTGGGGCCTGTATATTTATTTCTTCTTTGTTCTTTTTATTTCAATATGAGCTCAATATTGTGGGGCAGATAGAATTAAACAGTGGATGCTGTGGCAGAATCTTACTAAGGACATTCTAGAACTTTAGTGGCTGTTCTGGTGAACTTTGGATGTGAATAAGCTAATCCATTTTTGGCACCTTACAATCACTGGTTAAAAGTTTCCAGATATTCAATAGTTAGTGTTTTTAAATGACCAGGAAGAACCCTCCCAAAGGAAAATTCTAAAATAGCTTCTATTAAGGACTTATTAGAAAAGGCCAATAAAAATGCAGAGAACCTAAAAGCCAACCTTGAAATCTCTTCTCTGTCTCTTGCCTAACCCGGGATTAACTTACATCTTAGACCCCTGGCCCTCAACTTCCTCCTGCCTTTCTATTGGGGGAACCTGCCTCCAATATTTCAATGTAGGTTCTTTCTATTTTCCGTAAGTGTCATCTGGCTGAGAAATAAAGAGAGACAGTACAAAGAGAGGAATTTTATAGCTGGGCCACCGGGGTGACATCACTTATTGGTAGGACTGTGATGGCCGCCTGAGTCTCAGACTAGCACGTTTTTATTAAGGATTTCAAAAGGGGAGGGAGTGTAAGAACAGAGAGTAGGTACAAAGATTACATGCTTCAAAGAGTGAAAAGCAGAACCACTGATAAGAGTCTAACAAAGATCACATGCTTCTGAGGGAACAGGGCAAAGGGCAAAAGCAGAACCACTGATTAGAGTCCAACAAAGATCACAGGGCAAAGGGCAAAAGCAGAACCACTGATAAGGGTCTATGTTCAGCGGTGTACGTATTGTCTTGATAAACATCTTTTTTTTTTTCTAGTTGTCAAATGATCCTTTATTGAAATATTTTCCTTTGTGCTTAACTGGCTGGGCATTCCACAGCACCACTGTTGATGTCATCTATCATGTCATGAGGGTGGCGGCCATCAACATTACAGCCCACAGACTGGGCAGTCCCCAGGATCTCTTTAATGGTTCCAGAGAGTTCTCTGGCTAAGGATAGGTGCTGCATCTGTTGAGCAATGTCGATGATCTCATCTTAAGTGATATTCCTACTGTGTTTAATGTTTTTCTGTTTCTTTCTGTCTCTTGGTGATTCCTTGAGGGCTTTGATGGTCAGGGCAGAGGCAGAAGGCACCACCTCAATCTGGGCCTGTCTGTTCTGTATGCTCAGTTTCACTGTAATCCTCAGGACCTTCCGATCACCTGTTGCCTTGGCAATGTCATCACCAGCCTTTTTTAGAGAGAGACCCAGGGGGCCGATCTTGGGGGCCAGCATAGAAGTGGCACCGACTTCACCTCCAGTGCACCTCAGGTATACTTTGATCTCATTGGGGTTGAACTTCAGCAGCATGGTAGAGGCGGCTGGTGTCGGATGAACCCGGATTTGGGATGACTGAAGAAAGTTGCACCTTGGCCTCCTCCGAGCCGAAAGCCGAGAGCGATAAACAAAACAACAGAAAACAGGGTTTGAGAGCAGAGAACCAATCTAACCACAAATTTACCAGGGCTGAGTTTTCCCAACCCTAGTAAACCTGAGGGTTCTACAGGAGACCAAGGCTTATCTAAGTCCTTATCTCAACTGTACAAGACAGACATTCCCAGAGCGGCTGTTCATAGACCTCCCCCCAGGGACACATTCTTTTCCCAGGGTATTAATATTAATATTCCTTGCTAGGAAAAGAATTTAGCAGTATATTTCCTACTTGCACATCTGCTTATAGGCCCTCTGCAAGAAGAAAAATATTTTTGCCCGACCCCATAGGCAGTCAGACCTTATGGTTGTCTTCCCTTGTTCCATAAAAATCGCTATTATTCTGTTGTTTTTTAAGGTGCAGTGATTTCATATTGTTCAAACACACGTTTTACTATCCATTTGTACCGTTAACACAATTATCACAGTGGTCCTGAGGTGATGTACATCCTCAGCTTACAAAGATAACAGGATTAAGAGATTAAAGTAAAGACAGGCATAAGAAATTATAAAAGTATTATTTGAGAACTGATAAATGTCCATATTAAGAAGAAATCTTCATAATTTATGTTCCTCTGCCGCGGCTTCAGCAGGTCCCTCCGTTCAGGGTCCCTTACTTCCTGTAACACCTTTCTTCTACTCATTCCCTTCCTGCTGTGTCTTCCTTAGGTCCTCTTCGCTTTCCTCCATTGCTTCTTCCTAAACACCCCCCTTTCAATGGACAATATCCCTTTGTGATGCTTTACACCTAAGTGATGATGATGACCAACTTAGCTAACTTTATTGTTTTAAACCTTAGTCAAGTTCAGGTTTGCATAATCTAGTTAAGAACCTTTTAAATCCTCCTACATAAAGAGGAAAATTCATTGAAGAATTTAGGATTATTTTAAGAATTTATAGGATGGAGGCCAGGTGCGGTGGCTCGCGCCTGTAATCCCAGTACTTTGAGAGGCCAAGATGGGCAGATCATGAGGTCGGGAGTTCAAGACTAGCCTGGCCAATATGGTGAAACCCCATCTCTATTAAAAATACAAAAATTAGCCGGGTGCGGTGGCATGCGCCTGTAGTCTCAGCTACTCAGGAGGCTGAGGCAGAAGAATCACTCGAACCCGGGAGGCGGAGGTTACAGTGAGCCAAGATCATGCCACTGCACTCCAGCCTGGGCAACAGAGCAAGACTCCATCTCAAAAAAAGAAAAAAGAATTTATAGGATGGATACTGTAATCTCTATCCATGAGTTCATCTCCTTACAGAATTTAGAGATGATGAAACTCTTATATAATTAATAGATCTTCTCTTATGCTCTCCAGATAGAAGATCTTGAAGAATTTTTATTTTTTATAAATATATTTTAAGAGACAGGATTATGCCATGTTGCCCAGTCTGGTCTCAAACTCCTGGGCTCAAGCTGTCCTGCCTCATTCACCCAAAGTGCAGGGATTACAGGTGTGAGCCACTGTGCCCAACCAAATCTTGAAGAATTAGTTAGGGATATAACTTCTCAAAGGATAAATCCAGTTTTATTTTGTTTTTGAGATGGAGTCTCACTCTGTCGCCCAGGCTGGAGTGCAGTGGCACAATTTCAGCTTACTGCAACCTCCGCATCCCAGGCTCGAGTGATTCTCCTACCTCAGCCTCCCAAGTAGCTGAGATTACAGTCGCCTGCGGCCGCGCCTAACTAAATTTTTGTATTTTTAGTAGAGATGGGGTTTCACCATCTTGGCCAGGCTGGTCTTGAACTCCTGACCTCCTGATCTACCCGCCTCAGCCTCCCAAAGTGCTGGGATTACAGGTGTGAGCCACTATGCCTGGCCATAAATCCAGTTTTATTAGACTAAAGTGAATTATCTTGATCATGACATCATCATGCAAAAGAGAAAGTCTCTTTACCTTCAGAGAAAGGAAGTTGTTTATGATTTTACCTGGCCAATTACCAGAACATAATTTAGAGAATTTCTTGGACTCATGATATTGTAGACACTGGATTCTGAATTTGTCTATACTGGCTCCCACTTTATATAATCAAAACTAGTCGACACACCTGAGTTCTTGTCCCAAATAAACTCACTAACCTTAAATTCCCTAATTGTTATAAACTCTACTTCCTGTTTGTGTATAAAAAATCAGGAGAAATTTTAGAGGTGTTAACAGTATGATGGACATCAAACATCCATTTCTTCCTACATCTTCCCATTTGGCACTGTAGCAGATGCCTACCTTCTTTGGGTACTTGCAGCTGCAAAGTTAACTAAAGCCACTGAAGACTTAATCTTAGTAGCTTCACTTAACCTCATGGTCAAGCCATTCAGATCTTATTGTTCATTTATTTTTTAGAGATGGAGCCTTGCTATGTTGCCTAGGCTGGTCTTGAGCTCCTGGGCTCAGCAAACCTTCCATCTCAGGCTCCTGCATAGCTGGGACTACAGGCAAAAGCCACTGTGCCCAGCTCAGCCCTCATTCTTGAATGAAAACACCACTTTTCTGCCTCTAGATTTGAGGCAGGAAAATAGGGTCTGGAGGCAGGGAACCTAAGGCCAATTGCTGACTGGATATCAGAGGCCACTCCCTTTTCAACCCCTCCTTTTTCTGAATGGCAGTTGAAAAAGGAACGTACAGCCAGGTGCAGTGTCTCACACCTGTAATCTCAACACTTTGGGAGGCTGAAGTGAGTGGATCACCTGAGGTCAAGAGTTCGAGATCAGCCTGACCAACATGGAGAAACCGTCTCTACTAAAAATACAAAATTAGCCGGGCGTGGTGGTGCATGCCTGTAATCCCAGCTACTCAGGAGGCTGAGGCAGGAGAATCACTTGAACCTGGGAGGTGGACGTTGTGGTGAGCTGAGATTTTGCCATTGCACTCCAGCCTGGGCATCAAGAGTGAAACTCCCTCTCAAAAAATAGGAAAAATGAAGGTACTTCTGATTGGACCTCTCTCACATCCAATCAGACTGATTGTTGGCCACTACTTCATTTGCATGGAACCAATGGGAAACCTCTGGAGAGTATTTAAACCCCAGAAAATTCTGTACCTCGGTACCACTTGCTGGAGATCGCTCCAACCCTGGGGAGTGTACTTTCATTTAAACTAAATCTCTTGCTTTCGCTGTCTTGCTTTGTGTGTTTGTCCAATTCTTTGTTTAAAATGCCAAGAACCAGGACAACTACCCTCAACTGGTAACATATTTTGGTGAGCCAGCCAGGAGGTAAGCCCAAAGTTTGGGATTTATTTTTCTCTTTTTCCTCTTTCTCTTTCTCTTTTCCTTTCCAGTTTGGGATCCTTGGTGGACAGTACCTAAGCATGGAGGCAACAGCATGTTTCTGGCCAGGGCCACTCTCCGTGTTTCAGGTGACTTAAACCTTCTTTCCTTATGCTGAATTATTTCCTTCCCTACTCAACTGGCTAAGGACAAGTCAGAGGGCTTGGACATGTTGTAGATGGTCTGTGTGAGTTATGGGGGTGGATTCATAAGAGGGGATTTATATACAATTTAATCTTGCCTAAATGTAGAGAATTAAAGAATTATTTTAAGTGGGATAGGAAAAAAATCCAAAGGTTGAACTACAAATTAATTATAGAAGTCAAGGCCTTCATCCAAGGACAAGAGGGAAAGCTCATGTTGGGCCATCAGTAGTAGAGAGAACCATTCCAAAGTGGTGCTAGCACCCATGTGAGTTTAGTGATGTCTGACAGACTAAGATGGGGCCCTTAAGGGGTACGCCCCCTGGGAACCCCAGTCAGGGGCCAGAATTTTTCAGTGGGATGCTCCAGCTAAAATTTGGATTACCTAATGAGCCCTTGACTTTTCAAAGTCCTCTTCTCTTTTCCAGACCACTTTGGGCAATTCTCCATCGATTCCACTTGATTCCCCACTTGGCTGCATCCTCTAGCATTGAAATCAATTTGACCCTGACAATCTAAAGAGAAAACGTATAATTTTTGTTTCTGCAATACTGTTTGGTCCCATTATAAGCTGCCCAGCCTGGAACAATGGGTGGTCAATAGTAACCTTAATTATGACACCATCCTGCAATTAGACCTATTTTTTAAAAGGCAGGGCAAATGGTCAGAAATCCCATATGTACAGGACTTCATGGCCCTATACCAAAACCTAATAATTCCCCCAAAGGAAAGTCCAAAGGCAGAACTAGATATTATAGATGACCCCCTTTTACAAGGGCCACCTGTCTCAGAGTGGACAGCAACTGCCCCCATATAGCCCCTTGTCAAGTGTTCCTGAGGCTAAAACCCAAACACTGGGGATCCTACTGGGTTCCCCTCAAACTCAGAGGGGAACAGCACATTCAACTCTACCTCCAGCCCTGCTACCCCTTAGGAAGTAGCAGGAGCTGAGGGGCCAGTCCTAGTGCAGGTCCCCTTCTCTATAACTAATATACAATAATGTAAGGGAAAGCGAGGAAGCTATTCTGAGAATTCCAGGAAATTCGTAGATGGGCTCCAGACTTTGACCTTAGCCTTTGATCTCTCATGGAAGTATATTCAATTCATTCTAGCAAGCTGTTACATCCCCTTTGAAAAGGAATGCATCCTTGAGGCTGCCCTCCAGGAAGCAAATGATTTATTTGCCCGAAACTCTCAGGGCAATCACCTAGGACCAGACACAGTCCCTACTACTGATCCTAACTGGGACTATAACACACCCATGGGAGTGAGCAACTGGGCTAAATTTCTTTAGGCTCTTCTTGGAGGAATGAGAAAGGGAATAACTAAAGCAGTAAATTATGATAAAGTAAGGGAGGTTACACAGGGAAAGGAGGAAAATTCAGCCATGTTTCATGGCAGACTGGAGGAAACTTTTAACAAATATACTAATCTGTACCCTTCCTCTCCCAAAGGCAAAATATGAATGGCACAACATTTCATTAGCCAATCTGCCCCAGCCATTAGACATAAGCTCCAAAAACTACAGATGGGGCCACAAACTAGTCAAAATCAGCTTCTTGATATCACCTTTATGGTGTATAACAGTCGTGACCTGGAGGAAGGAAAAAGGGAGCAAAATAAAACGGCAAGCAGGCCGGGCGCATTGGATCACGCCTGTAACCCCAGCACTTTGGGATTCCGAGGAGGGCGGATCACCTGAGGTTGGGAGTTTGAGACCAGCCTGACCAACATGGAGTAACCCTGTTTCTGAAAATACAAAATTAGCTGAGCCTGGTGGCACACGCCTGTAATCCCAGCCACTCAGGAGGCTGAAGCAGGAGAATTGCTTGAACCCGGGAGGCAGAGGTTGTGGTCAGCCAAGATTGTGCCATTGTACTCCAGCCTGGGCAAGAAAAGTGAAAACTGTTTCAAAAAAAAAAAAAGAAAGAAAAATAGGAAGCCAAAATTATGGCAGCCATCATTGGCGATGCCCTGAATGCCCAAAGAGTGTCCAAAAGAAACCAGAAGGGCCATAAGGATAATGCCAGCAAGGGTTCTTGCTTCAAATGCAAGAAAGCTAGACACTGGGCAAAGGATTGTACTAAGCATATGCCAGGCCCTTGCCAAAACTGTGAGGGTACTGGTTATGACCCCTGGCACTGGAGGATTGACTGCCCCAGCTCCCACTGAGGGGCTCAGTCAGTCAAAACTCTAGCACTGCAAAAGGAGGAATTAGATGAAGACTGAAGGGACCTGGGGTCTTCCTCACTGCCCCTGTCCAGGAACATTATAATTGCTACTGAGGAGCCCTAGGTAACTCTGGCCGTGATGGGCCCCCAAATTCAGTTTCTTTTTGATACAGGAGCAAATTAGTCTGTCCTTACTGCTTGTGCAGGAAGACTTTCCTCCCAGTTCATGAGTGTTATGGAAATGGAAGGAAAGCCACAAAGAAGATTCTTCACTCCTCCGTTGATCTGTCAATTTGAGAAACAAATCTTCCAACAGGAATTTCTAGTAGTCCAAGCTGCCCAGTCCTCCTGTTGGGAAGAGATATTGTGATTGAAATAGGGGCACTACTACAACAGAAGCATCAGTCAGTGAAATTGCTAGTAGTCAAAAATACAGTGTGCCAGACCACATTAATAAACAGGCTAACCTGCTAACATGGTATACTGGGAAACCGGGGAAGGCTAAAACAAGAGTGCCAGTCAAAACACAGCTTAAAGACTCCAGCAATTTTCCCAATAAAAAATAATACCAAGCCAGGGCTGGGTGCAATGGCTCATGCCTGTAATCTTAGCACTTTGGGAGGAAGAGGTGGGTGGATTACAAGATCAAGAGATGGAGACCTTCCTGGCCAACATGGTGAAACCCCATCTCTACTAAAAATACAAAACTTAGCTGGGCGTGGTGGTGCACACCTGTAGTCCCAGCTACTTGAGAGGCTGAGGCAGGAGAATCACTTGAGCCCAGGAGGCGGAGGTTGCAGTAAGCCGAGATCACACCACTGCACTCCAGCCTGGCGACAGAGTGAGACTCTGTCTCAAAACAACAACTACAGATCAACAAAAAAAAACCCAGCCAGGCATGGTGTCTCATGCCTGTAATCCCAGCACTTTGGGAGGCCAAGGTAAGTGGATCACCTGAGGTCAGGAGTTCGAGACCAGCCTGGCCAACATGGTGAAACCCTGTCTCTACTACAAATACAAAAATTAGCTGTGGCACATGCCTGTAATCGCAGCTACTCAGGAGGCTGAGGCACGAGAATCACTTGAACCCAGGAGGCGGAGATTGCAGTGGGCCAAGACTGCATGCCACTGCACTCCAGCTTGGGCAACATAGTGAGACTCTGTCTCAAAAACAAAAATGAAAATAAGAAACCAATTAAGCTGGAAGCAAGAAAAGGCTTCATAGTTAAAATAGTTGAGATATCCAGAGCTGAGATATTACTTACCCATGGGCTCTAAAAACCCTTCAATTCTCCCTGAACATTCTCATCTGACCTGTTCTAAAGGCTTTGAGGGAATACCGGCTAGTACAGGATCTCAGAATAATTAATGAGGCCATTATCCCTGGCCACCCATTGGTGGTGGATCCATATATGCCATCTTGGCTCAGGTGCCAGGGGATGCAAAATAGTTCTCAGTCCTAAACCTAAAAGATGTTTTCTTCTCCATTCCTCTGGCCCCAGAGTCCCAATACCTTTTTGCTTTTGAATGGGAAAATCCTAGTACCAGAAAAAAATTAAATACACTTGGATAATGCTCCCTCAGGGCTTCTGGGATAGCCCCCATTTCTTTGCCTTAGAGAGGGATCCGAGGGGTCTGCAATTGGAGAATGGGAGTTTAGTATGTGGATGACCTTCTTGTGTGTAGCCAACCTGGGTGGCTTCTGACCAAAATACTATACAAACTTTGAATTTCCTGGAAGATGGGATACAAAGATGGCTCAGATTACCCTCCATTGGGTCCAATATTTTGGATATGTGTTAACACCTGGAGCCTGGCAAATATCCCCAGTATGAGCACAAACCATATGTGGTTTGAGCGCCGCCCCCCACCAACACCAAGCAGCAGCTTCATTCTTTTTGGGGAATGGCTGGGTTTTGCAGAATATGGGTACCAAATTTGGGCTCATACAAAGCCCCTATATGAAGCAACAAGTGGGCCTGAAAATGAGCTAATGGAATGGGCCCCAGAAATGAGAGAAACCTTTGCCAAGCTAAAACAGGCCCTTACCCAGGCTGTCACTCTTGGCATCCCAGACCTAATTAAGCCCTTCTCCTTGTATGTAGTGGAGAAGAGGGGCATAGTTGTGGGAGTACTAGCCCAGAAATTAGGATCAGAACCCAGACCAACTGCCTACTTTTCTTTTTTTTTTCTTTTTTTTTTTTTTTAAGATGGAGTCTCGCACCGTCGCAGAGGCTGGTGTGCAGTGGAACAATCTCTGCTCCCTGCAACCTCCACCTTCCAGGTTCAAGCGATTCTCCTGCCTCAGCCTCCTGAGTAGCTAGGATTACAGGCGCCCGCCACCTCGCCCAGCTAATTTTCTTGTATTTTTAGTAGAGATGGGATTTCACTACATTGGCCAGGCTGGTCTTGAACTCCTGACCTCGTGATCTGCCCACTTCGACCTCCCAAAGTGCTGGGATTACAGGCGTGAGCCACTGCTCCCGGCCCCAACCTCCTACTTTTCAAAGAAGTTGAATGGAGTGGCCTCACGATGACCAAGTTGCCTGCAGGAATAGCAGTCACTGCTATGTTAGTGGAGGAAGCCACTAAAATCAACCTGGGCCAACTGCTGAAAGTTCTAACTCCCAATCAGGTAAAGTCAGTCTTAGAGATAAAGGGACACAGCCAGGTGCAGTGGCTCACACCTGTAATCCCAGGACTTTGGGAGGTGGAGGTGGGTGGATCACCTGAGGTCAGGAGTTCGAGACCGGCCTGGACAACATGGTGAAACCCCATCTCTACTAAAAATACAAAAGTTAGCTAGGCATGGTGGTGGATGCCGGTAATTCCAGCCACTCAGGAGGCTGAGACAGGAGAATTGCTTGAACCAGGGGGTTGGAGGTTGCAGTGAACCAAGATTGCGCCACTGCACTCAAGCCTGGCAACAGAGCGAGACTTCGTCTTAAAAAAAAAAAAAGATCAGCTTCTTCCAGATTCTGAGGGTGACTGGTTCATAGATGGCAGTAGTTTTGTGTCAAATGGGGGGTGCAGAGCTGGATATGCGGTAGTAAATCACAACACCATTATTGAAGCCCACCACTGCCCCCTGGCACATCAGCACAAAAGGCTGAAATAATTGCTCTTACTGGAGCTTGAGTGTTGGGACAAAGGAAAAAACTGAACATCTATACAGATTCTAAATATGCATTTCTTGTGGTTCGTGCTCGTGCTACAATCTGGAAAGAAAGAAGACTACTACTAACGAGCAAACACTGCCTATAAATCATAGGCTTGAAATTCTTCAGTTATTACCAACAATACACCTGCCAAAGGCCGTAGCTATGATCCATTATAGGGGGCATCAAAGGGACTTAATTCCTATGGCACAAAGGAGCAGAAAGGCTGATAGAGAAGCCAAAGCTGTAGCCCTCAGGGTGCAATCCCAACAGATCCTAGCACTTCTTCCTTTCTACGACTCCCCAGTAGAACCTGAATACACACTGCAGGAAGTAGAGTTAATAAAGGAGAGGGGGACAAAAACAAGGATCCTGGTGATATAGGGGATCAAAAGCATATCTGCCTCAAACAGTCCAATGGAGAATTGTAAAAACCCTGCTTGACTCCTTCCATGTGGTGAGAGATGCCACCCTGGCCATGGTTAACGGGCTCTTCATTGGGCCTAACTTAGCAGGTCTGTCAAGTCTGCTCACTGGGTGCACTTAATAACCCAGGACACAAAATGCCACCCCTAATAGAACTAGTCCAGAGAAGAGGAACTTACCCAGGGGAAGACTAGCAATTAGACTTCACCCATATGCCAGCTTGTAGAGGATATAAGTTTTTGTTTTGTTTTGTTTTTTAAGATGGAGTCTTGCTTTGTTGCCAGGCTGAAGTGCAGTGGCATGATCTTAGCTCACTGCAATCTCCACTTCACAGGTTCAAGCCATTCTCCTGCCTCAGCCTCCCGAGTAGCTGGGATTACAGGTGTGCGTCACCACACCCAGCTAATTTTTGTATTTTTTTTTTTTAGTAGAGATGGAGGTTTCACCATGTTGGCCAAGTTGGTCTCAATCTCGTGACCTCAGGTGACCTGCCTGCCTTGGCCTCCCAAAGTGTTGGGATTACAGGCATGAGTCACTGTGCCTGGCTAATTTTATATTTTTTAGTAGAGACAGGGTTTCTCCATGTTGGTCATGCTGGTCTCAAACTCCTGACCTCAGGTGATCTGCCCCCCTTGGCCTCACAAAGTGCTGAGATTACAGGCGTGAGCCACCTCGCCCAGCCTAAAGTTTCTCTTAAAAGAAATAATCCCTAAGTTTGGGTTACCTTAGAGTCTCCAAAGTGATAATGGCCTGACCTTTATCTCCCAAATAACTCACAGTGTTGCTAAGGCTGTCGAAATCTGTATTAGTCGAGGTTCTCTAGAGGGACAGTACTAATAGGATAGATGTATATATAAAGGGAAGTTTATTAAGGAGTATTGACTCACAAAATCACAAGGTGAGGTCCCACAATAGGCCATCTGCAAGTTGAGAAGCAAGGCAGCCAGTCTGAGTCCCAAAGGTGAAGAACTTGGAGTCTGATGTTCAAGGGCAGGAAGCATCCAGCATGGTAGAAAGATATAGGCTGGGAGACTAAGCCAGTTTAATACCTCCACATTCTTCTCCCTGCTTTTTTTTTTTTTTTTTTTTTGAGACGGAGTCTCGCTCTGTCGGCCGGGCTGGAGTGCAGTGGCCAGATCTCAGCTCACTGCAAGCTCCGCCTCCTGGGTTTATGCCATTCTCCTGCCTCAGCCTCCCGAGTAGCTGGGACTACAGGCACCCGCCACCTCGCCCGGCTAGTTTTTTGTATTTTTTAGTAGAGACGGGGTTTCACCGTGTTAGCCAGGATGGTCTCGATCTCCTGACCTCGTGATCCACCCATCTCGGCCTCCCAAAGTGCTGGGATTACAGGCTTGAGCCACCACGCCCGGCCCTTCTCCCTGCTTTTATTCTGGCTGCACTGGCAGCTGATTAGATTGTGCCTACCCAGATCGAGGGTGGGTCTGCCTTTCCCAGTTCATTGACTGGAATGTTAATCTCCTTTGGCAACGTCGTCACAGATACACCAAGGAACAGTACTTTGCATCCTTCAATCAAGTTGACACTCAATATTAGCCATCATAGAATCAAATACTATTTATATTCAGCATGAAGGCCTCAATCCTCCAGGAAAGTAGAAAGGGCTAACTAAACTCTAAAATGAGTGTTAGCTAAGCTGTGTCAGGAAACATTAGAAACTTTGGTCAGTCTACTGCCCATAGCCCTCTGAAGGATCTGTAATACCCCTAGAGCAGAAATTAATATAAGCTCATACCAAATGTTATATGGAAGGCCATTCTTAACTAATGATCTAATTACTGATTCAGAAACAGTCGGTTTAGTAAAATACCTAGCTAACCCAAGTCAGTTTCAGCGGGCTTTACAAAAGTTTGGAACTCAAAGGCTCCCCATACTGGGAACTAACCAGTAACCCAAAATCAAGCCAGGAGATCAGGTACTTGTTAAAACATGCAAGGAGGGATCACCTGCTCAACAATTGCAACCCAAATGGAACGGATCATTTTCAGTGGTAATGGCCACGCCTTCTGTGGTCAAAGGACTGGGATTAGATCATTCAATACATCTTTCAAGGATCAAGTCTACGATACCTGAAGCCCCAGACCTGGAACCTGAAGTTCCCATTAGCCACTACACTGTGAACTATGGAAGCCCTGAAGTACCTGTTTAGAAGGCAGCCAAAAGAGAAGCAGCAGCCTACCAATTTTCCTTGGTGTTTTTGTTGCATAGTTACTGTAGGCTGGATAACAATAGCTATGTTTTATATTTTTTGCAGATTAATTTCCATCTTTCAAATGGTTGGAATCACTTCCTTTGTAGTAATTAAACAGAATTTTTATTTTTTATTTTTATTTTTTATTTTTTGAGAAGGAGTCTTACTTTGTCACCAGGCTGGAGTGCGGTGACGTGATCTCCACTCACTGCAACCTCCACCTCTCGGCTTCAAGTGATTCCCCTACCTCAGCCTTCTGAGTAGCTGGGACTACAGGCATGCACCACCACGCCCAGCTAATTTTTGTATTTTTAGTAGAGATGGTGTTTCACCATGTTGGCCAGGATGGTCTCAATCTCTTGACCTTGTGATCTGCCCGCCTCAGCCTCCCAAAGTGGTGGAATTACAGGCATGAGCCACTGCACCCAGCCTAAACAGAATGTTTTAATTCATTCCTATAACAAATATCCCTGACAGCATAGGTATTCACTTCTGAAATTCCCATTAAATCTTTTAACCAAATTCATTTCCTCTTGTCTAGAGACCATCAATCTTCAGATGATCATGCAACAGGGTTTCCAGCCAGTTCCAAATGAAGACAGCACCCCGGCCATCAAGAAACTACTCTGTTGGCCGGGCGCAGTGGCTCACGCCTGTAATCCCAGCACTTTGGGAGGCTGAGGTAGGTGGATCACGAGGTTAGGAGTTCGAGCCCATCCTGGCCAACATGGTGAAACCCCGTCTCTACTAAAAATACAAAAATTGACTGAGTGTGGTGGCTCACGCCTATAATCCCAGCACTTTGTGAGGCAGAGGTGGGGAGATCACCTGAGGTAAGGAGTTCGAGACCAGCTTGGCCAACATGGTGAACACCATCTCTACTAAAAATACAAAAATTAGCTGGATGTGGTGGCAGGTGCCTGTAATCCCAGCTGCTCAGAGGCTGAGGCAGGAGAATCACATGAACCTGGCAGGGTGACAAGAGCAAAACTCCATCTTAAAAAAGAAAAAAAAAAAACTGTCTGCGGGTGGGTGCTATGTGAGAATCAAACAAGGAAACTATCAAGCTGCACACACTGTCACAACCCGCTGAGATTCGTTCAGATCCAGCCATCCCTCAGGCCAAATCTGCACAAGTGTTTGATAGTTTTTATTTGAACAAATTTCTATTTAGTGTGATATATAATTCATTCAAAATTACATCTTCTGAAGCAAAAAAAAAAATTTTAAATTTAAGAGTCAGGATCTTGCTCTGTTGCCCAGGCTGGAGTGCAGTGGTGCAATCATAGCTCCCCTGCAACCTCAAACTCCCGGGCTCAAGTGATCCCTCACCTCAGCATCCCAAGTAGCTAGGACTACCGGCACCACCACCATACTTGTTGTTTTCTGAACTATTGTGGGAGAGCCTAAAAGTCACCTCTACTCATCTTAGTTCTTAAGTAGGACTTTCAGCTGGGTGCAGAAATCAAATTGACACAAGACATCAAAAAGAGAAGAGCATACATGTTTTATTAATTTTTGCATGTTCATGGGGACCCTCACAAGAGAGTGAAGACTTAAATGACAAAAGTAGGAAGATTTTTTGCTTTTCAGATAAAGTGATAAATTTGTGAAGAAATGACAAGACAAAGGTATCTGGGCTGGAGCAGTAAATTCCAGGACAGTCACTAGGAGATTTATGGAGAGGTGTAAAGCTAGTGGAAGACAAGGGTTAGTGTAGTAAGTTTATTTACAACAGGCCTGTTGTAGCATCAGTTCCCAGTCTCTAGAGATAGGGGTTATTTTCTCACCCTGGACAAAGAAGCATCCTCTTCAAAGGAATTTTTATGGATTGTAACAAGTAGGAAAGGACAGGTCAGCTACCTCTTTCTTTTTTTCTTTCTTTCTCTCTCACTTTCTTTCCTTTTTTTTTTTTTTTTTTTTTGGAGTCAGGGTCTTGCTCTATCTCCCAGGTTGGAGTGCGGCAGCATGGCATGGCCTTGACTCAGTGGAACCTCTGTCTCCCTGCCTCCTGGGTTCAAGCAATCCTCCCACCTCAGCCTCCCGAGTAGCTGGGACCACAGGGCATGCTGCCACACCCAGCTAATTTTTGTATTTTTTGTAGAGATGGAGTTTCACTGTGTTGCCCAGGCTGGTCTCGAACTCCTGAGCTCAAAAAGATCCAGCCACTTTGGCCTCCCAAAGTGCTATGAATAGAGGCATGAGCCACAGCACCTGGCCCTTTCTTTCCTTTCCTCTTGACAGTGTCTCACTATTTTGCCAAGGCTGGAGTACAGTGGCACGATCATGGCGCACTGCAACCTCAAACTCCTGGGCTCAAGTGATCCTTCCACCTCAACCTTCTGAGTAGCTGTGGCACAGGCAGAAATGCAACTACAGTTTCTCAAGTGTCTTCAGCTTGAAACTAATTCAGCAGATTTTGGAGTGGCACATCCTTCACTCCTTCACTATGAATTCATCTCACAGAAATGAGAAGGTAACTGACTTTGCTGTTAGAAGTCCTCGAATTTCAAAATAAAAGTCCTGGGCTTAAAAAGTCTGAATGTTATGCTGTGTGTTTTTTGCCTCCAAGTTTTTAGTTTCAGACTAAAGTAGCTAGGGTTATAAGAAATACAAGAAGTGTGATGGCCTTGTACTCTGTCGACTTAGCTAAATTCAAACTAAGCGTCGCAGCTTCCTTCCCTGAATGATTCTAAATTACAGTTGATCACAGGAGAAACATGAGCAAGTTTTAGAAGCCACAAGTGAAGCATCTGCCATTTTCTTTGTGCTGAAAGTAAGGATATAGTGACAGGCGTTATTGCAGTGAGGCGTTATTGTTGCTGATTCCCTAACTGGCCTTGATGGGGTGGGGCAGGGTGGCATTATGATATATATTGGTTTTCATCCATGGTCCCTGCCTTGGTACAGTCTTTTTATAATGTGGGGTGTGTCAGACCCCAGAGGCAGGCCTCTGAGCTTCTCCTGCCCTCCTTTCACCTGCCCCAAGGCAGGACACTGTTTCCCTCCTTTCTGATTGTGGGTCTTAAGACCCTTGTACACCCTTGGGGAAGGAATGCTGACATCATGAAGCTCCATAAAAACCCAAGAGGGACTGGGCGCAGCGGCTCATGCCTGTAATCCCAGCACTTTGGGAGGCTGAGGCAGGCGGATCATTTGAGGTCAGGAGTTAGAGACCCTGGTCAACATGATGAGACCCTGTCTCTACTAAAAATACAAAAACTAGCCAGATGTCATGGTGCTTGCCTGTAATCCCAGCTACTCGGGAGGCTGAGGCAGGAGAATCACTTGAACCCTGGAGACGAAGGCTGCAGCAAGCCGAGATAATGCCACTGCACTCCAGCCTGGGCGACAGAGTGAGACTCCATCTCATAAAAACAAAACAAAACAAACAAGCGAACAAAAAATCCAAGAGGACTGGGTTCAGGGAGCTTCCATATAGCAAACACGCGGACGTTCCTCGAGGGTGGTACACCTAGGGAGGACATGGAAGCTTCCCCCAAACCTCACCCTACACATCTCTTCATCTATATCCTTTGCAATATCCTCTATAATAAACAGGTAAACATCAGTAAGTGTTTCCCTGAGTTCTGTGGGCCACTGCAGCAAATTAATTGAACCCAAAGAGGGGGTCATGGGAACCTCAACTTCAAGCCAGTCAGAAGTTCCAGAGGTGCAGACTTGTGTTGTGACTGGTGTGTGTGTGGAGGCAGTCTTGGGTACTGAGCCCTCAACCTGTAGCATCTGACACTCTCTCCGGGTAGATAGCATCAGAATTAGAGGGCGCCCACATGATCTTCACAGCTTGGTATGTGGGAAAAAACATCCACACACACATGGCCACAGAAGTCTCCTGTGTTGATTGTTATGGTGTGAAAGTAGAGGAAAAACACGATTAGGGAGAGTGTTCCCTACACAGTAGTATCCATGGCTCCTTAAGCTCCTACCCTATCTCCTCCTTCAGCTTTTTTTAGTCCTGGGACAGGTGCTTGGGTGGTTCTGTGGCAAAGGACAACAGCTTCTCCTGCAGGTCGCCCAATGTCATTGCTTGTCCTTGTGATTTCTAGTCTATCCATATGGATTCCAGGTCTTGCTCTTCCCTACTTTACATCCAGCCTTCCTGACTGCCAGCCTGGGTGACTTCAGACCCTATACAACCCACAGCCCAAGGCGACAGCCTTGTGTAGACTTCTCCAACAGCTCCCACAACTGTCTATACTCTAATCCCTATGCTAAATCCTCTCTATAATCTCTATCATAAACTGTACTCTGTTACTCATAGTGTTAATGTTTCTCTGGTCAGACTCTGATTGATAGTAGGAGTCCATATACTTATGAAATAAACATCTAGCTGGGCGCGGTGGCTCACACCTGTAATCCCAGCACTTTGGGAGGCCGAGGTGGGCGGATCACGAGGTCAGGAGATCGAGACCATCCTGGCTAACACGGTGAAACTCTGTCTCTACTAAAATTACAGAAAATTAGCTGGGCGTGGTGGCGTGCGCCTGTAGTCCCAGCTACTCAGGAGGCTGAGGCAGGAGAATGGCGTGAACCCGGGAGGCAGAGCTTGCAATGAGCCGAGATTGCACCACTGCACTCCAGCCTGGGAGACAAAGTGAGACTCCGTCTCAAAAAATAAATAAATAAATAAATAAATAATCTGAAGAGGAATACAAACTTTTGTGCCATATGCTAGACATTTTGCTAAGTGTGCCTTATCTCACTTGATCTTCACCAGAAGACCGTTGTACACGTGAAGACATTGAGCTCAAATAAATGAATACATTTTCCCAAGGGCACATTGCTAGACTATGGAAAGCTGTGTAGTCAAGAGAATTTCTACTTATAAACTCTGCTATCTTGTAACGACCCAATGGGTTCACCTTGCTCACTGCCTAGACAGACAGGGTCTCACTCTGTTGCCCAGGCTGGAGTGCAGTGGCATGATCTCGACTCATTGCAACCTCCATCTCCCAGGTTCAAGCGATCCTGTCATGTAAGCCCCCCAAGTAGCTGGGACCACAGGTGCACACCACCATGCCCTGCTAATTTTTGTATTTTTAGTAGAGACGGGGTTTCGCCATGTTGCCCAGGCTCCTAAGCTCAAGTGATCCACCTGAGTCGGCCTCCCAGAGTGCTGGGATTACAGGCATGAGCCATGGCGCCCAGCCTGAGAAACAATTATTCATGAAGACCTGGCTGTGTGGGAGATCAGAGTTTTATTATTACTCAAATCAGTCTCCCCAAGCATTTGAGTATTTGGTGATCAGAGTTTTTTTTTTTTTTTTTAGATGGCGTCTCACTCTGTTTCCCAGGCAGAAGTGCAGTGGCACGATCTTGGCTTACCACAACTTCCGCCTCCCAGGTTCAAGCAATTCTTCTGACTTAGCCTCCCATGTAGCTGGGACTACAGGTGTGCTCCACCACGCATGGCTAATTTTTGTATTTTTAGTAGAGATCGAGTTTCACCATATTGGCCAGGCTGGTCTCGAATTCCTAACCTCATGGTGATCAGAGATTTTAAGAATAAATTGGTGGGTGGGGAAGCCAGTGAGCTGGGAATGCTGATTGGTTGGGTCAGAGATGAAATTACAGGGAGTGAAAGCTGTCCTTTTGCTTGAGTCAGGTCCTGGGTGGGGGGCCACAAGATTAGATGAGCCAGTTGATCGACCTGGGTAGTGCCAGCTGATCCATCAAGCGTAGGGTCTGCAAAATATCTCAAGCACTAATCTTAGGTTTTACAATAGTGATATTATCCCCAGGAGAAATTTGAGGACAGTCAGAATCTTGTAGCCTCCAGCTGCATAACTCCTAAACCATAATTTCTAACCTTGTGGCTAATTTTTTAGTCCTGCAAAGACAGTCTATCACCAGGCAGGAAGGGAGTTTGTTCTGGGAAAGTTAAACTATAAACTGAGTTCCTCCCTGAGTTAGTTCTACCTATACCCAGGGGTCAACTTGGACAGCTTGAAGCAAGATGGAGTTGGTTAGGTCAGATAGTTTTTTTTGTTTTTTTTTGTTTTTGAGACGGAGTCTTGCTCTGTCGCCCAGGCTGCAGTGCAGTGGCGTGATCTCGACTCACTGCAAGCTCTGCCTCCCAGGTTCACGCCATTCTCCTGCCTCAGCCTCCCGAGTAGCTGGGACTACAGGCGCATGCCACCACACCCAGCTAATTTTTTCTATATTTATTAGAGACAAGGTTTCACCATGTTAGCCAGGATGGCCTCAATCTCCTGACCTCGTGATCCACCCACCTCGGCCTCCCAAAGTGCTGGGATTACAGGTGTGAGCCATCGCGCCCAGCCAGATCTCTTTTACTGTCATAATTTTCTCAGTTATAATTTTGCAATGGCAGTTTCCATCTTGTCTCTCCAAAGAGCATAATCTTTACCTGGTGCCTTCAGAATGAGGAATTTTTACCCCATAGGTGTTTTTACTTTATTCATCTTTGTTTGAAGGGGATCTGAATATGCCACCCCAAAATATGACACATTGTCATAGGAAATTTTTGAGCTGAAGGTAATTGAGAATCAGGAGATGCAGGTGGCTGGGAGTGGTGGCTCATGTTTGTAATCCGAGCACTTTGGGAGGCCAACGCAGGAGGATCACTTGAGCCCAGGAGCTCGAGACCAACCTGGGCAACATAGTGAGACCTCATCTCTGTGGCAGGCCAATTCTCTCTGACAGTCACACAGACAGGGCTCCATAGCACGCCAGTTACATAGACGAACTTCCACAGCCCTTGCCTTAACATTGGGCTAACAATTAAGTCTAGGGAAAATCAATGCCCGGATGTCAGAACCAGAAATGAAACATACGTTCAGTAAGTGCCTTGCACAGGCTTCTCCTAAAACCTGGAGCATGTCAAGATAATGGGGACAGCCTTACATTCCTTGTACCAGGATCTGTCTCGGGTCAACATCTGGGGCGAGTCAAGGTAACACAGACAGTCCTTGAATAGATTTATTTTAAGGGGGAGGGTCTGGAGCAACTCTTAGGACCAAACCGTAGGTAAGATAAAGTAGAAGTAATCACTCTGGTGCCAGGATCCTCCTTAAGTAAATTTAGGAGACATTTCTTAATCACCCTGGTATCAGGACCCTCACGGATTAGGTAGATTTAGAGGGCATTTTTGGCCTCTGACCTAGCTGAAACAAAATTAATTACTTATAAACAGGCAAATGTGATATTGCACGTAGGCATGTAGTCCAAACACATATAAGCATGGATAATATTGTAATATCTTGAGTTGGTCTGGCGAATA